CCTGCAGATCCCAAGGCACAAACCCATCAGGAAGCTGGAGAGGGATGGGGAGGAGGAACTCAAACTGGATTTGTTGGATTTGGCTGGAATTGGGTGCTATTCCCACAGATAAAAACATCTCCCTCCAAACAGAGCCAGAGGCCACTGAGCTTGGTTTGATTGAACATCACCGAATTTCCTTCCCACAGAAAAGCAGGCAGTGGGAATGAGGGGGCCCTGAAGTTGAGAATGTTCCACCTTTGGGTTAAAGAGATGCCCAGGAGCCTCGTGGGGAGCCCAGAGCCAACAGGATAATGTCAAGGAGCTGACACTAACGAGGATAACAAAGTTAATGAGCAAACAATGAGGCAAGTTAGGCCATCAAATGCACAGTTAACAGCCCCCCTGAATCACCAGGATGTGCTGCTTTAACGATGCTGTTGTGGAAGAGATGGCCCTGAGCTATTTCAGACCACGTACACTGAATTTTGGCTGACGCTTATCAGTTTATATGCAAGGAAATTTATGGCACGGAACTGAAATGAAACAGTGCTTTGGACAGGGAAAAATGGATTGCAGGTGCAAACAAGCATGAAATGAAAATCTACTAATGAGTTTCCATTAGCAGCTAAATACATAATCGAATAATTTTTAGCCAACATAGAGCAATGAGAAAATCAATTTATTCCTCCTAAGTACTTCTCTATGGATTGATGCTCTAGCACAGCTCAGGCTGGTTTTGTTAAGTGAGAGCAGAGCTTGGGATTCAAAGCAGAGCGTGGGTTTGCTTCTGCTGAGTATGAATGGAATGTATTTTCCTTGGAAACCCTAAATAATATAAGGTAAAATATATATAATGATGTATCTTAGTTAAAATGGAGCATTTCTATCTGAAAGCTTCAGAATAAAACATTCCAGGGAAATGGACCAGCGCTGGCATGTAATAGACTCAGAAATGTCCATTAGTGCAGCAAGGCTTGTTCTCCACTGCTCTTGAAGCAACAGGGCCCTCAATTTCCTTTATTTTTGCCTTGAACAGCCTCTGACCTGGGTTCTGTTTGCCTGGTGTTTCATGCCTGATTCAATGAGGGGAAATATTTTCCTCGAGGCCCTGGCACAGCTGTGGCTGCCCCTGGGTCCCTGGCAGTGCCCAAGGCCAGGCTGGGACAGCAGGAGGTGTCCCTGCCACGCACTGTGGGATGGGATGAGCTTTAAAATCTCTTCCAATCCAAAGCATTCTGGAATTTCTCTACAATTTCAGTAGAAAGCACATCCCAAAATACCTTGTTTTCCTAAGAACCTGTTTCTATCTGGGAACTGGAAACCAAAATGAGCTGTAAATTGTCTGGATATGTCTGGAATTTCAAAAGCTCGTTTAACTCATTTTGTCTAAGAAAATGCCCACATTTTGGACCCATCTAAAGGCAATTTCTCATTTCCAGCTGGCTTTGTATCAAACCTTAGTGTGCTCCGCAGCAGGCAAATGAGAAAATCAGTATTTCCACATCTTTCTGCGGAGCTGGGAGTGCTGGGGGAGCCTGGAGATGTCCCTGAGTGCGCCCACCTGGATGTCCTGTGCAGGTGAGCAGTGACAGGTGACAAACCAGGACACAAGCAAGCCAAATATTCATTAGGATACACCCTGCTCACAGCCTCTTCAGCTGAAGGAGTTTATCTTCCTTCCCATCTCCCTCTAAAACTCTAAATGAGAGACAAATAAAAATTTTATCATTTTCCATAGCCCCTGCCATAACCCCGTGTGTCAGGCAGCATCCTTTATCTGCCACTGCCTGGAAATCTCACATTTTCATTGCCTGGATCACCAGATGCATTCATCAAGCCTGACAAATGCCTCCAAAGCACTAAATCACACCACTCCATCTCAATGGGCTACATAATCATTGTCAGGCTCACCATAAATCTGGGAATATCTCTGTTCCACACTCCAGCATCTCCAGCTTCTAACAGGGCTGAGAAACTGCCACGGGAAAACTGGATCCTAAGTTAAGCTTAGGAGTTTGTCAGTCCCTTAAAAATTTGATAAACTCATGAATTTCTGTCAGGCTGGTTTATTTTTATTAATTTTTTTTTTTTCTACCCACAGGAATAACTCATGGACTAAGATTTTTTTTTTCCCCCCAGAATAAGGTAATGTCTTAATAAATACAAAAATATAGAGGGGGAAAACTATTCCCTGCTCTCCTGGGGAGCTGCCAGCTCTGTGGCCTGGCATTCCAGAGGACCACAGCTGCCCAGGGGTGGCACTGGGAGGGGATGGCAATATCCACCTATTCTATCTAGCCAACAGAATATAAACTAGATATCTTATTGTTTAGACAAAGGATTTTTAACAAAACTTAGGGTAGTTTATATTGAACGACACTTAAACTTGGAATGAATGAACTCTGATGGCAAGGAATAATAAACTCAATTTGAACAGAATATCAAAGTGATAAAATGTAACTTAAGAGTACTTAGACCTAAACATAGTGAAACTTAACTTTACTTGATGTTATTATCACTCAACTTATTGCAGGTTATTATCTATAAACGTTTTCACTTATTTCAATATTATTAACACAAAAGGCATTGAAAATTTGAACCTATGCTTAAAATGAAACCAGAACGATTTTGCCGAAGGAATTACCAATGGGGTTTGATAAAGCCATAAAATTTGATCATTTTATGAGATTTAGATTTGGGTGCAGGAATGCAGCAGAGCATCCCCCTCTGGCTCTGGCTGGCAGGACCTGCACACCAGGGCAGTGCCAGGACAAAGCTGAGGCCAAAACAGGTCAGGCTTTGGGATTGCTAAAAAAAGGAGAAGTTGGGCTCTGGACACATGAGGAGAATGCCCTGAGGATGCCATAAATCAGCTGAGCTGGGAGTACTCCTCTCCTGTGCACTGAAAGCCATGCAGGGGGACTTGGTAACCTTAATTAACTAACGAGCTCCTGGTTCTGTGTGCAGAGCTGGGGAGGAGCTGCTGCCTCAGATAACCTGGGTTTATCCAGGGGCACACAGATCCTGCCCACTGTGCCATGGACTGCTTTCACTTCCAGGGTTTAAACAGATATTTAAATCACAGAATTGTGGAATGGTTTGGGTAAGAAGGGACATTAAATCCCACCCAGTGCCACCCCTGCCACAGCAGGGACACCTCCCACTGTCCCAGGTGCTCCAGCCCCAGTGTCCAGCCTGGCCTTGGGCACTGCCAGGGATCCAGGGCAGCCACAGCTGCTCTGGGCACCTGTGCCAGGGCTGCCCACCCTGCCAGGGAACAATTCCTGCCCACTATCCCATCTCCTGCTGCACTCTGGCAGTTTAAATCCATTCTCCTTGTCCTGTCTCTCTATCCCTTGGAAAAACACCCTCTCCGCCCTTCTTGTTTTATTTTGAGACAAGTTTCACAGAAGAAACAGGAATGTAAACATTTCCTCTTCAATGCTTCTAACCCAAATTCAGAAGCCTCGTGTCTGTGTGTGGGATTGCTGTGTGGGTACGTAGGAAATCTTTGTTTTCAGTTCATACATGAATCTTGATGTTTTAGGAGTGTATTTATATGCACCTATTTTCCTACACATTGTGCACAAAGCAAGGATCCCACTCACTGCTCTTGCAGCATTTCCTCAGCTCTCTTCTGAGTGCTATTTATTGCATTTTTTTTATTTTGAGTCAGGTCAAAAAGGAGACTTGCCTGGGATTTTCACTGGGGTTTTGCCACCCAGCTCCCCCTGAAGCTGAGTGTGTGATTTTGCTGTAAAAAAAAAAAAAAAACCCAAAGGAGATGCTGATTTTGCAAAAATGCAAAAGCTGTGCTGCTATCAGTGGGAGCTGTGTCTCTGGAGTGATTAAAGACCAAAGGCACAGGTAGGGAATCAGCCTGGGCTCTGGGCTGAGCTCCCAGAGAGATTCCCTGGCTCAGGTACTTTGGGAAGAAGGCTCTCTCAAACTGCCATGCCTGTGGATAACTTCCACTCCTATTTTCCCCCACCATCACTGGTTTACTCCAGTGATAAATCCAACTGTATAAACATTTATTTCTTTGAGAATCCCGTTTGCTGTTAGAAAAATGCTCAAAGCTGGGACCTGTTGTGTGAAGTGGCTGCTCCAGACCTGCTGGAACACAAACTCCTCTCTGCTGCTTCCTCAGCGCTTTCCACATAAAGAACATTTTGGAAGGAGCAGAAAAATGCTTTGTGCAATTAAAAACCCCCAAAAGAGCTTGGGCTGGTAGGATGGAAATAAGGAAATGCCCAAATCAGCTTTCTCTCCTTGGAAGAGAAGCAGAACACAGATGTTGGTGGGTGTTTTGTATTTTGGGTGGCTCTGTCCTGTCCTTCCTCTGCTCCTTGGCCCTCCTGCTCTGCCCTGACTGAGTGCCACGCTTGATTTACCCAAATAATGGCCTTTGGAGGAAAATGCTGCTTTGCTCAGGGCTGAGGGGTGGCTGAGTCAGGGAAAGCAGCACCTGGGAGTTTTCCTGGGAGGAAAGGAGGTTGTTGTGTCCAGCGCTGCTCAGGCTGGTCCAGCTCAGCCCTGGGAGCTGCTGGTGCTGCACACCCTGTTCAAAACCCCCAAACAACCTCTCTCCCTGCAGGGTGGAACAGGAACTCACATTTTTCCTGATTTCCACAAAGCAACCATTAACCCCAGGATGCACAGCAGCTTTTCCACGTGGGCAGCCCATCCAACCCAGGTGTGATCCAAGTGAAATGTGAATTAATGGATGGGGTGTGGCACTGGCAGGTTTGGGAAGCTGAGCAGAAGGAGATTGTGGTCACCTCGATGGGCCCAGAGCACCCCAGGTGTCTTCTGTGAGTCTTTGGGCCAGATTGGATGGGCTTTGGTTCCTGTCAGGGGCTGCAAGTGCAAACTTTCACTTCTGTTCTCATCTAAATCAAATCCAGATCATTAAGAGGCAGCTCTGTTCTTGGCACCTGGTTTGTTCTGTTAAAATATAGCTATCTTTTTAAAATTAATAATTATAATAGTAATTTAACTATGTGGAATGCTCACAGTTACTGCTCTGACTTTTCTCATGGAAATAATTGTAATTAAAAGGAAAGGAAGTGACTATTACTGGCCAAATAGAGCCACCATTGATGAGATAACAGCTTTTCAGCTGGGCAAAACATTCTGCCTTGCAGGAGCTCCAAGAACAGTTTTATTCCTTTAAATCCAATGATTTTTGAATGAAGAGGATTAATCAGGCACTGCTGAAGAACATTCAGCTGTTCTTTCTGCTGCTGCCACAAGGAACCTCCTCCTTTACCTCTACAAAGAGTTTTTACTGAAGTCCCTGTTTGCTCAAAGGTTTGTGCTGAGAAATTTGTGAGAGGTTGAGGAATTGGGTGTGAAGTGGAGGGCACTGCATCCAGCCAGGACAAACTGAATCCACCTGGGGGTTTTGTGCTCGAAAAACAACTCCAGAATTGCCTTCTCTGGGGGCTGGGGCTGTGTAAGAACAAATTCCAGCAGGAATAAATGATGAGGTGGGAGGTCTGAGGTGGGCTGGGAGGAGGCAGGAGTGGGAGTGGGGAAAAAAATTGCAATTTTTCCACGGCAGCTGAGCAGTCCCCTGTGTGCAGCCTAATTTCAGAGATGATTGGTGCAGGATTCCCTGCACAGAATCCATTGTTATCTGTGCCCTGCAAAGCCAAGCAAGCCCTGGCTAATTCTGGCTAACCAGGGGTGATTCCGTGGTTACACTGCAGTGAGGGTGGGGACTGGTTAAGGATGGAGTCACATTTCTCTGTGGTTTGCAGGAGAAAAGGAGGGAACAATCCCAAACTCCTCTCCACAACTCCGAGAGCTCAGAACCTGATGAAAACCCACAGCTCACCCAGCCAAAGCAGGTAAATGATTTTCAGCTTACTCAAAATCATTCATAGGTTTAGACGAAATTCGTTGAAAAAGTCTCAATGAAAAAGGAAAGAAAATTATCAGAAAAACCAACAGCTTTGAGATGTTTCTGGTTTTGGTTTGAAAATGGTGCTCCAATTCAGAGGCATGGAACTGACTCTCAATTTAACCAGTCCTGTGGTGTTTAAATTCAATAAAAAGGTAAAACTCGCTTAGAAGCTGGTTTTTTAAAATCCTGCTCTCTCTTTTTTGGAAGCCTGGAAGGAACATAAAATGCAGTTCTCAGCAGAAGGATGTAATTGGGAGGAACTGTAATGGATGGGCTGTGTTTCTCTTTGAAGTTCCCATTGATCAGTGCTGCTGAGCTGATTTTTCTAATCCATAACTCAGGAACATGAAGGAATTGTCACTTAATTCTCTGGGTGTTTGTGTTTCACCTCCTGTGAAAGCAGACTCTGGCCTTGATTCAAGTTGTTCAGTGTAAGGTGGGGAAGAATCACCCAGTTCTAGTGGGGTTTTTTTAATATAAATTTTCCTCCTGTTAGCCAAAACAGTTCTGTGATTTCTTTTTTACGTCTGACTTTGGTGTAAGAAAACTCCATCTAATACCTTCTGCTCCAAGAATGTGCTTTCAGCCAGTGGAGCAGTAATTAAGAGATGATTCCCCCCCTCCTCTCCACTGGAGAGGCAGCTTGTGTTGAAAAACCAGCCCTTCACAAGGAGGGAGAACCATCTGTCCTCTCTCTGAGGAAGGAGATCATTTTTGTGTGCTCACATTAGCTGAACCTCCGTGCAATAACTCGTTTCCATGAGGGTGGACCCACTGGGATGGATTTCCATGGCCCTCATTGACACAGCTCTGATGGCAAAGCTGCCAGAGGAGCTCTGGCCACAGCTGCTGTGGAAGATCAGGGAGTTCAGTCAGATCCCTGACCAGCCCTGGGAGAACAGCATCCCTCTGGAATTGTGGATGTGCAGAGAAAATGGTGGTTAAAATGCCACTTGTACTGAGCAAACACCTCCTCTGCATGGCCAGGTCGTGATCTCTGAATTTTATTATCTCAGCTGAAACCAAACGCCCTTGGCAGGAATTTCTAAAGAGAAAACATTGAAGACTGAGGGTCTCACATAAATTCCTGCTGGATCCTGTAAGTTCTGGATATGAGGACTCCTGGCTTGGGAAAAAGGGGAAACACTCAAACCCTGGGGCAGGTACTCGAGTTCCTGACTCTGTTTTGGTAAGAGAAGGAAAAATTATGCTTCTGTTTGACGAAATGATGGTGATCCAGAATTCAGAATAACAGTCATTAATAAATAATGAGGAGAGTTGTGAAGAAAATGAATTTTTCAGGGACTCTGAAGAACATCTTTGGAGCTGGGGTCTGGAACCTGCAGGAGGTACAACCTTCATCCCACTGCACATCGATCAGATGTTTGGTAATTAGCTGCTTCTAAAATGTCTTTTGCAGCTGATCTGATATTAGTGAAATGCTTTGGAGCAATACTTTCCACTGGTTTGTCCTGGTTTCAAGAAAAAGAAGGAAAATTATGATTTGTTTTACCAGCAGTTTTTTAATGTATTTGTAATGTGGGTTTGTCCTGCTACTTACCCCTGCTTTTGCACCTCTTTATCAAGGACTGACTAATAATTCTTCATAACAGCATTTTGGATGGTTTTGGCCTCTAATTTTGCCCAGAACTCTCCTCATCCTTCTCCCTTTTAGAATCCTCTCAAATCCCTCTCCATGCTCAGACACTTGAGGACAAGCTGTGGCCATTGTGTAAGTGCAGAGCACAATCCAAATGGAAATGAAAACAATTAAATATACATGACAAGCAGGTATTTAGACGAGCCTGGATTTCTTAATGGTTCATTTCCACCTTTCAACTAAATTAAATGTTGCTTTCATCTATTTTTAAAGGAATGTCTGTTTTTTGTCAGGAGCTGCCCTTCTCCATCTGCTCCTCAGATGGTTTTGCCTCATCCCAAGGACAGCCCCACTGGCTGTGTCAAAACCAGGAGATTTTTATGGCACCATGGATGGGGATTCACACAAACCAGGGCTCTGTTACCTCCAGGTAAGAAAAGTCCTCTGTAATTAATGATTGTTCCTATTAATGATGTGATCCTGGCACTTATGGCATGGATTTTGGGACCTGCTTCTCCCAGTGCCCCTCAGCAGCTGGAACCTTTGGGGGCTTCAAGTGCTGCCTGTATCAAACCCATTCCTGATAATCCAAGACCCAGCCTGTGCTGTGCTGAAATTCCCACATCCATGGCTGGAATTCTGCTTCCATTTCAACATCTATGGCTGGAATTCTGCTTCCGTTCCCATATTTACAGCTGGAACTCCCATATAAATGGAATGCTTCCATTCCCATATCTGCAGCTGGAATTCCCATATAAATGGAATGCTTCCATTACCATATCTACTGCTGGAATTCCCATATAAATGGAACGCTTCCATTCCCGTATCTGCAGCTGGAATTCCCATATAAATGGAATGCTTCCATTACCATATCTACTGCTGGAATTCTGCTTCCATTCCCTCATCTATGACTGCAATTCCACTTCCATTGCCATATCTGCAGCTGGAATTCCCATATAAATGGAATGCTTCCATTCCCATATCTGCAGCTGGAATTCCCATATAAATGGAATGCTTCCATTCCCATATAAATGGCTGAGCAGGATGATAGGAACTGGTCAAGGGGCTCTTGGCAGTCGCTCTGCTCCCATCTTGGGAATCTCATTCTCACTGTCTGAAAATCAGGAACTGGGAAAACAATAACTTAAGGGTTTTTGCCTCTTAATGACAGGTCAAAGGAGGGGAATAATGAGAGAAAAAGTGGCTGTAAAATGCAGCATGTGAAAAGAATATTTGCATTCCCTCTCTCTTTTGGGTGGCTCAAGTGGATGTGAATCACGGGTCTGTCTCCTTTGATGGAACAGGTACTGGGATTGGAATTCTGAGGGAGATTTCATGGATTCAATCCCTCCCATGGGTGTGAATGGGTGCAGGTGTGGGTGTCCTGCTGCCCCCAAGCATCCCTGGCTCCACTCCACATTCCTCCTCTCCAGAGGCAGAACTCTGCTGTAACTCCCAGGCTGGGAGATGAATGTCCCTTGGCAGCTTCCCACGAGTCCGTATTGATCAGGGCAGCGCTGCCCTTTTGTTTTGTGCTGAACATCCCAGGGTTTGCAACTGAGACCTGTCAGGGGCTGAGGGACTTAACAGGGCACGTTGGAAGGAGCAGGGCCATAAATTCCCCAGGAATTCACGCCGTGGTGAACGCTGGGGAGGAACAGGCTGCACACAAACGCCCTGCCACGCAAATCCCGATCGATGCGCTGACAAATACCCTGCTGCATCCTGCTGCCTCACTCAATATTTCTGCAAATAAACGGAATTCAGGAGGCAGGGAAAGGCAGAACGTTCCACCTGAAGTGGTGCAGGGATGGGAGGTGTTGTGGAACTAATCAGGAGTGGATGGATGAGCTTTGTGGCTGCCTCGCTGTTTATTTCACATCTCTGCTGCTAAACTGGATTCAAAGGGCTCTAATTGAAAAGGGGCCTGCTTGACATGTGAAGCACCTTTTCTCCAGTGTGTGTGTGCTGAAAAGGCAGTACAATATCTCTTCCTGGGGATAAATCCAGGAATTGACAGGAATCTAGGTCAATACACTGATGCAGGGAACAAGGAACCCTCTTCCAGCAGTTTCCCCCCAAGC